TTTTTTTTTTTTTTTTTTTTTTTTTTTTTTTTTTTTTTTTGCTTTTCAACTCTTCATGGAATTTTTGGTGTAGCCATTTTATTTGTCTTTTGTTTTGGCTTATCTTTGTTCCATATAAGGGTAATTGTGCCTGTAATGACCTTTGATTTAGACCCTGCTGTACACATTTTACCTGCCTGCCTTTATTCATTTTCCCCTTTAAAATTGTTCCCTGTGTTACTTGCAGATTATCTGTGTTATCTGTGAGATGCTGTAGATACACAGCTTGAACTTCTTTTCCACTATCTTCTCCCACTTCTCTCTTCTGTAAGAAAAAGATGTCATTTGCCTTGCCTGAAAAACTTGTTCTCTGGAATTCATCCAAATTCATCCCTTCAGAAGTCTACATTGTAGACTGAGGACATCTAGTTCACAGAAATATATATATATATATATACTGTATATATAAAACTGATTCCTTGGAACATGAAAAATATCTGCATGTGTGCGTAGTCACACACAGATATTTGAATATGTGCTTTTACACACACAAGAATATATAATCCTTTTTTCCTAGTTTTTTTTTTTTTTTCATTCCTGAACAGTCTTAGAACTGCAGAATGCAATGTTTTTCTGATTCAGTTTCTGTTATTTTTTTGGTGATGTTTTCATAAGTTTTTCAGGTCAAAAAGTTGTCAGTTTGTGGACCTCAGCACCAGAAAAAGCTCAGGAAATTAATTCCTGTCCTCCCATGTCCCCATGTTGCTATTTGTTTCTATGTCTATACTGCAAAAATCCTGCCATTCTGGTGGTGTTGATACAACTTCTTGTGTCCTTGTGTTTCCATGCTTGTTCATGTTTAGCAAATATCTGCCAGCTGTGCTCCCCCAAACACTGTAACAGTGCTAGACCAGAAGGATTCACACATTGCATAATGCACAACTGAATCTGCAAATTGCCTTGCAGCTGAAAAGAGAGAGGGAGGGAGAGAGGTTGCCTGGACTGTATCATATGGTCAGCTCTGATTATTATTCCTTTTACATGTTTTTTCTCCCAAGCTCTCTGTAGTGCTCTATAACATCCTTCTAGATAAAAGGTTGTGGCATCCTGTCTGCATTTCTTTAGGTAGCATTTAACTACCTAAAGGATTTGCTTTTGAGCAATGCTTTTGCTTTTGAGCACTGTTTTCCTTCCCTAGAGAAGGAATTCTGAGCAGCACAGCCACTCCTTGCTGGCCCAGAGGGCACAGGACCAGCACTTGGAAGTGAATCTATCTTGGCCTTGGTAATGCTGAAAACTAACTCTGAGCTGTATAATAACATTTAATTAGTATTTCATTATTAATTGGCCTTTGTATTTAATTTATCAGTGCTTTAGACATCCTAGAAGAAATTAATCTGTCTTCAAAGCGTAAAAATAAGTTCAGTGAAGCTGCTCTGGAAACACTACTTGATAATAATCTTTCCCAAAAGTACAGCCGGATGGGATATTTATCACCAAGTAATATCATTACTAATGGATTCTATGATTGTGGTCAGGTAAGCTATTCTAAACAAATTACTCTATTTAGAAAGAGTAACAGTTTCCTCTTAATTTAGAAAGAGTATTGTAGCAAAGCCAAATTCTGGCTACAGAAAATACTTCATTTTCTTGTCCTGAAATTTCACGGCTGTTATACAGATCTCTTTTGGTTATCTTTCTTAATGGATGAAATCATCTTCATGGTATTCCCTAGTTGTGATCTTCCCAATCCTATCTGAGCTGTTCAGACCCTTCCTGATCCTTTCTCAAACTTTAGTTCTTCTGGTCTCTCTCTCTGCACTATACTAAATGCTGGCTTGACATTGTATGATTTATGGACATTTTGTTTGTTAATTTTTACATAAGGAAGGAAAGAGTTCATCTTTTCACCTCGGGCATGACCCCTTCTCTTACAAAAAAAGTGTTTGTGTATAAAGTCTGACTCCACTATCACTTATTAGTACTGTGCTCAATTTAAATCTGAGAAGGACTTTTCCAAATACTCAGAAAAATTAGAAATACCAGTCTTACTGACAATCAGTGAAATACCTGCTCCTAAAGCACTTGGTTGCTTTTGAAAACTCCATCCTATGTTGTGAAGCCTTCAGAGGCAGGAACATTTCCTTATTCTGGAACAGTTTGGAATGCTTCAAACCAATAACTACAATCTTTTCTAAGAAAAAATTATTAAGAAAATTCAAATTGAGGGGAAAATAATTTCAGATATTTTGAATAGCTTTATAAGTTCTAACACAGTCTTTGGTTTAGGATTAGGAATTTTAAATTACTGTTGAGGTATCTTTTAAATAGATTTTTCTCTCTGCATCTTTAACTTAGCAGAAAACCTTGTTTTTTATGCTAATTTTTTTGTAGGTAAAACATGGAGGGAAATTTTTGTCTTTGGAAGAACTAAGCAAGCAAGAGCTCACTGACCGTCGGGCAATAATCTTCATTAATGCTAAACCCCAAGAAAGGTGAGTCATATTAGATCTGTTAGTATTTGCTGTAATAGCTCATCTTTTTAATGGTTTTCACTGTTTCCAGTACAAACTTCATTCCATCTATCTATCTATCTGTCTGTCTGTCTATCTATCTATCTATCTATCTATCTATCTATCTATCTATCTATCCATCTATCTATCCATCTATCCACACACACACATATATAAATAGCAACGTCTATTTTATTCCCAGCACAGTGCTTTTATGTCCTAGGAGTCAAAACATTCGTATTTTATAAAATAAGAATTCAGAAAATAGCTCATTCAGTTGAGTTGCTTTATTTATCTTAGCCTTGAAGACTCATTCATTTAACTCTCTTTGATTCCTGATGATGGGACACCCAGTGTTTTATTAGTTATAACAAAGCTTGTCATCTGCTATAATAATTATGTCATCTGAGCTGAATGTCAACATTCGACTGAAAGCTATGATTTGATGGTCCTCTTGTACAGACAAATGCATGGAATTTTAAGCACATCATTCCAAGGGGTGGGACAAAGCCAAGCATTAAGCTCTCAGGCTTGATAAAGAACCTGTGTCCATTTCTTCTCTGTTTAAGTTGAAGCCAGCCTAACAAATCTTTTTAGATTTGAATGCAGGAAATTGGTATTGGGCTTGTTTAACTGGGAGCCATTTCCTGTAAACAGTCTCACAGATCAAAGATCACTCTACCAACATTTTCCAAGTCCAAAAACTTCTTCTCTGCCAACACATCACATATTTGGGTTACAGTATCATTAGCTTCCCTTTTAAGCTTGTATATGACACCATAAAGATGTCTGGGAATATCTGTGACAAATTAGACTTCCATGCTCTTTGTTGATCCCTCAAGCTGTCTCTAACTATCAGGTCTTCATTCTTTGACTTTGAGACAACTTCTTGCTTTTGCACATTGACAGCAGCCTTACTCCCCAGTTATTTTTGTGTTCATCATTGGGCATTCTCAGAAGTAAAAAAGAATTCTAGCACAGGAACTGGTAGGGCTCATTCGCAGAGCTTTAAACCAGCCTGCAAGGGGGAAAGGGATAAAGCCAGGCAGGCCAGTGATGAGTGATGGGATGGGGTGTCAGTACATGAGGAAAGGAACACCAACAGGATCCCTCAATCTGCCTCAGGAGGTGTTGGCTACAATGCACCACACCCGAAATGTGTCCGCACTAAAGCACCCAGCAAGAGGGACAAACAAGGGAATCCAGGCTTTGGCCCAGTCCCAGAGATTTGACATCTCTGGCAGAAGTGAAACCTGGTGGGATGGATCCTGTGCCTGGAGTGCCCTGTTGGATGGTTCCAGGCTCTTCAGGAGGGACAGGCAGGGCAGGAGAGCTGCAGGGGTGGCACTCTATGGAATAGAAGGGGCAGAATGTATGGAGCTCAGAGCTGCCAATGGCACAGCTGAGAGCCTCTGGGTAAGAATCAAGGGACAAACAAATAATGCAGATGCCATTGTGGGACTCCACTACAGACCTCCTGCACAGGACAATGATGAATTATTCTTTGAGGAATTAAGGGACTCTTCCAAGTCAACTGCCCTTGTCCTTATGGGAGAATTCAACTTGCCAGAAATTAACTGGGAACATCACACAGCTGGTACAACCCAGGCCAGAAGATTCCTAAAAACCTGAATGACAACTTTATGGAACAGGCTTGGAAAGATGCCCTCCTTGATCTACTCCTTGTCAACAGAGTTGATCTTGTGAGCAAGTGGAGATTGGAAGCCATTTTGGCCACAGTGACCAGGAAGAGATCAAGTTTAAAGTCTCTGTTAACAGAAGGAAAAATGCAAAAACCTCAACTCTGGGCCTGAGGAGAGCAGACTACAGACTACTCAGGGAGTTAGTGAGTAAGATCCCTTGGGAAAAAGCTTTTGCAGGTGCTGCAGTCTATCAGTGCTGGTCACTTTTTAAACATCACGTCCTAAGGGCACAGGAGCAGGCAATTCCCAAATGTCAGAAGTCAATCATATAAGGCAGAAGGCCATCTTGGTTGAACAGGATTCTTCTCTTAAAAATAAGGAAAAAAAGAAAGGTGTATGCCCAGTGGAAGCAAGGTCAGGTGACATGGGAAGGGCCTCTGCTGGCCACTGTCGGGAGAAAATTCATGTGGCCAAAGTTTGAAGTTGAAGCCAGCCAGAACTGGGGGGGACAAAAAAAAGAGTTTTTTTAAAATATATTAAATGGCAACAGGCAGTGCCTTGAGGGGAAGCCATGTGAGAAGTGACTGAGGTCTGTTCAGATTGGAGGAGACTGAGGGGAGACCTCATGGCAATCTACAACTTCCTCATGAGGGGAAGAAGAGGGTCAGGCACTGATCTCTTCTTTGTGGTGACCAGTGACAGAAACTGAGGGAATGGCCTGAGGTTGTGTCTGGGGAGGTTTAGGTTGGATATTAGGAAAAGGTTCTTCCCTCAGAGGGTGATTGAGAACTGGAACAGCTGCCCAGGAAACTGGTCACAGCACCAAGCCTTACAAAGTTCAAGAAGAATTTGGACAATGCTCTCAGGCACATAGCATGACTCCTGGGGATGGTTCTGTGCAGAGCCAGGAGTTGGATATGATGATCTTGATGGGTCCCTTCCAACTCAGCATATTCTGTCATTCTGTGATTCCATACTTTATTTTTGATCCCTGAATTAATGTCTGGTTTATTAGTAGTTACGTTATTTCTTTCACTTATATACCACCTATGAATATATGTATTGTCCTTTAAAGTCCAAACTCCATTTTCTTAGCTTCACATGCAAATATTAACTTTGCAAACAAATGCAAAAATATCTTCTTCTGTTTCAGTGTTGTAGAAGTACAGGAAGTATCACCATCTGTTTCAGGAAGAAGCAGCAAAGAAAAACCAAGGTATGGCTCTCACATTTGCTAGTTGTCAATGCTGTGTTATTGCTGTAACACTAGAAATAGAAGTCTGAGAAAACAGTGACGGATAGTTTCTGAATGGAGTACAAATACCTAAACACAATGTTAAATATATTTTGGGAGTCTTTATGTCATTCTTTCATCTCCTATTTGCAGTAATATTCCTTTGTCTATCTTAGTGATTATTCTTCCTCTCTTCCCATGCTGTATTTGAACAGCTCACGCTTATTTGCTCTTTTTTTTTCTTCATTATCCCTTGGAAGCAGAGAAATGCTGTTATTTTACAACTTAACAACCAAGACACAGAGAAATTACAGTAGAAGTTCCTTCTCAGTTTAGAACCTAAACCCATGAAATGTTCCTACACTTCCATATTTCCAAATGTTCCTACATGCTTCCTTATTTCTAGATTAAATCTCTTCCAGTACAGTTGACAGATGACTAAAAGCTGAGAAGGGTGTGCTCAGAGCTGTCCTGATTTTTAGGCAAGTAGCCTAAAAATGCTTCACTCTTGCAGCACTTGCCCTGATCCAGACAATACACCAGGTACAGTGCTGCAGTCTGTCTCTTTGTACCAAGTAGATCAGAACCACTATTCTTGTAGTGGAAAATTAATTTCCTTCTTTTACAGAAAGAGGATTTGAGTCTGTCCCTCACACCTGCAGAGAGCTGACCACAAGATATTTGGGGTTTAGCAGTCTCTTCGTGGTTTGTTGTAGCTGATCACTAACAATGAGGTGCAATGAACAGGGTGTTTTACTTGAGCTATTCAGGTACTTAACTCTCCTTACTCTCACCAAGACCAGGCTTTTAGTCCTTGTCTGATATAAAATACTTGATCTGTAGTTTGTTCCTGTGGAAGGAAACTGAGCCATGGTCTCCCAGCTGTCCTTCCTGTAAAACAGCAGCACAGTTGTGACCACAGCAGTGCCTTCTGCAGAAGGCAGGTGTGCATGCCTGATTCCAGAGGAATCCAAAAGCAGTCCCAATGGAGCCTCCTTGCCATCAATGGAATGGCCTCTAGTCCTTGATAGGAATGTCATACAACCTACAGCTGTCCTTGGCTTTTCTCTTAGCTAACTTAGTGCAGTGACTATTTATCATGCTGCTTTCTGTGGGTCCCAGGCCTGACTTCCTAATTTTCCTTTCTTTATGGTAAAGGAACCTTGGCAATGGCTAAGGGCTGTGAGTTCTAGTCAGTGATGGAAATGCTGAGTGCTGCAGGGTTGGAGAAAAAGGAGAAATGGCATGTATGCTGCAGGAGCTGATGTACTGTGTTTCCAATTTTTATTGTGGAGCTCATTCATGAACTGATACCCTACTGTCTGTACAGGTGTTTTATTGACAGAGATACTGGCTGATTTCTGACACTGCTTGTATATTTCTGTGTATGATTGCATCTGCACTTGAGAAATGAAATGTGCAGTAAGAAAATCAAGACAATACTGAAACTTGCTTTTGATTTCAATAATTCAGTGGTATCTCCAACAGGAGAAAATCAGAAGTTACCTCGACAATGGTGTTCACTCAGCAAAAGCAGCACTAGAGAAAAAGGCTAAAAGTATTATACTTTGAGTTATATTTGAATATGTTTGAATTATATAAGTTTGTTTAGAATAGACATGCAAATTACTGACAGATAATAGCTACTGACTCTGAATGTTTGAGGTTTTGACTTAAATCATGACCCAAATTTTCAGACTAGTCTATCCAAAAGTTATTGACTTACAAGGTAGACATTCCCATTTGACTAGTTATTTGGACTGCAAGCACTTCTGAAATTCAGTTTAAATCATTTTATAGTAGATACCTGGAATGGATTGTATGAATTGCATTGTGGAAGGTTCCTGTTTCAGGATGCACCAGAGTAGATACAGCAGCTTGAGCACCTCAGAAGGCCTGTCCCAGCTTCTGCCCCCTCCCAGGTCCTCCTGCTGCCCCATGTGCCCTGCTCATGACCCACTGTGCCTCTGCCAATCTAGTCAAAGGGAGCAGAGGCAAGGGGAGATGCTGAGCCCCAGTTATTTTTTCTCTGCTCCAGTGGGGAGTTCCTTCACCTTGGAAGATACTCTAGAGTCATAGGCCATTTTGTATAGTTTCAGGAGCTGGGAGACCTGTTCTGACAAGATAATATATTTGTTTATTACAGTGTGTGATGAGGATACACTTGGATAGTTGCTTTCTAATGTAATTTATATCACTTACAGTGTAAATGACTGCCCTGTTTGCAACCATAACTCCTTTGAAAAGCAAAAAAATTTCTTTAGGAAAAAATAAATGCCTGACTCGATTTCCCATAGTAAACCTTGCAGGGGTACAAGGACTCCTTTCTTCGAGTAAGAAATAATTGCTTTTGAATGTCATGATCAAGTTGTATGATTTATAACCCCATTGTCATTCATTTTGAATCCATAATTCATACATCATTATTATTATTAATTTCTGAGATATATGGGAGTTACTTGAAGGTCAGTAGCTGACTCCAAGTCTCAAACATGCTTAGACTTTTTCCTGCTTATTTTTTCCTTTGATCATATTTTCTGTTCATCATTATTTTGCAAAGTACTACTGAACACTGTTTAAAACCATTGTTTTGAAAAATTGATACTACTTTATATAAACCATAGTTGAAAGCCAAGAGAAAGGGCAGTTGTAATTGTCTGCTGGAAATGTTTGAATTAGATGTGAGGAAGTGCTTAGTTGATAGTTTGACATATATTTTCATTGACAGCAACATTTTTAATCAGGCAGTTTCATATCTGATATACACATTGACTGGGCTAAAAGATTGTATTTAATGTAGACTAATAAATGTGTATTTATTCCCTCCTATGTTTCAATACTGCATTTAAGGAAATACTTCCCCATGTCCATTTGCTCCTTTTCAAAAGATAACCAGGGCATTTAAGCTATGCAAAATGGGAAAGAATATAGGTGTCATGGCTGCTTTTGATGGTAGAATATTGTATTGGCTGCCTTCTTCCTCCAGCTGATTCTCTGGTGACCTGTTGGACTCTTGTACTAAAGTTGCAAAGAATCAGAAACAGCTTGGAGACTATTAAATGCCATGAGCTCTCCTTTGCAATATTCCTCTGCTTTCACAGCAAGTAGTCTCACAAGTAGGAAGACAGCTCTGAGAAATGAGAGTGATTTTTTTTTTCTGATGTCACAATTCCCACTGGCAAGAAAATGGGGATTAAAAAAGAGGGCAAGAAGAAAGGGCAGTAGAAGTCTCCTGTAGAGGTTACTGGTTATTTTATAGCACTGAGCTGTAAGACTGCAGCTCCACAGTTCCTTATGAGATAAGGATTAGACAGATATGATGAACTGAAGAATTGAGGAGTAAGAGAGAGACAAGTGTGGAAGACAACCTTAAATCAGCTATTCCCCCAAGGAACACAACATAGTCATACCTGAGAGAAATAAGCAGCAGCATAAAACCCAAACAAATCACTGTTCAAACTCATCTCTCTCAGGTGTTTTGTTCCTGAAAATTGGAAAGGAGGAGAATAAGTGTGATTCTAGAGTCATTTGAATAGGTAGGAATAGGAAACAAATTCTCCTACAGCACTGTAATTTAATGGTGCACTTCTCATAGAGAAAAGAAAGTACTGGAAGGATAGAAGGGAAGAAGGGGGAGGAAAGGGAAAATGGCAGAGAAACAAGAATTGTAGCATTTTTAAATGTTGTTCTCTTGAAAACCTCCTAAACTGGACACCAGACAGTTCGGAATAATTCAAGATTTTTAAAATACAGTATTTTTAACCATAATGTATAAATGGATAAATTGATAAGTAGATAGCTATTTAATCTAGCATTATAAGGTTCTCTGGCTATAGTTAGATAGAGTCAAATTAGATAAAGCAAACTGTTTGTCTGCTTTTTTCCAAGTGTAAGTGTAATTAATAACCAGAACAGTTTATTTAAGAGGGTGGTGAATTTTCTATAATTTTAAGATTAAATCTTAATTGGTTACCTTTATAAAATAATGTGCTTTGTGACACGTATTTAAAGGGCTCTTTGTGAATATGGTAAATCTCCATAGGTTAAAGAAAAGTTTGCAAAGTATTCTGAAGACAAATTGCTTGAATTCAACTACTGATAATGATGTACGCCCTTTTGCTTTATTCAATGCCTTCCATCTTAAGAGTGCTATTCATAGTATAAATTTTAAGAATAATTTGAAGAGCATGCAATAATGATAGTATGTCTTGGAGCCATGTACTCTAGTAGTCTTTATTTCTTTTTTTTTTCTTTTTCCTTCCAAGATCACCAGAAGTATTATAGATTTTAAAAAATGAGCCAGAACCATAAAATTAAATAAAGAAGTTTTGTTTGTATTTCACAGTAAAAATTTTCAGGATCTACACTGAAAAAAGACACAATGCTTACAAAACACTCATTTCATGTGTTCCCACAAACAAAAGATCCTAAACTGTCTAATTGTATTGACCTTAATAATACCTTTTGTAAAATAATGATTTTATAGTTGCTGCATAACTTGTGAAATGCACAGTATTTAATTTAAGCAGAACAGTAATTTCATTTATACTTCTGCTGGGTGCTTAAGATGCCTGTTTAGGATCATAGTAATTTTTCAGATCCTGAGCATTAGGAAAATATGAAGCATGTCCATTGAAAAAGAGTCAGCAAAAAACCAGAACTGTTGTAAAATCTTTCTCTGACAGGCTATGCTGTAGTTTGCATAATGCTTGAAGTACCTGAACTTGCAATTACAGAGGCTGTCTTTTTGGAAGTCCTGTCAAGATTTCAGCTGTGCTTTTGATACCATTTTTTCCTTTATTTGAAGACCAGATTTTTATCAAGTAAAAAATTATTGGAGTTTGTGGTTTGTAGTTCATATCCATACAAAACCAAACCATAACTAAAAATATGCCCTACATGTATATAGTAGGTAAGTAAGTATCTCCTCCTCTATATGATCCATACATGGGAAAGGCATCAGAACCATTAACTAAAAATAAAATGAGAATTGACAACAATGTTAATACAGAGCTAGTGGCATTTATTCCTAACCACCTCCTGTAGGCATGTTCCACAAGTGTTCTCTACAGCTTTGTAGATTTTGGATATTTGTTATCAAGATAAAAGATGTCTCCTACCTTCCACCTCTCCCTAGTCAATATGTCTAAATGTCCTGTTGGAGAACTTACGTGTTTGAATTTGAACTTTAGAGAATACAGTATTCTAGATAAGTATTCTAGATAAGTGTATCATATTTTTTTTTCTATGTAAGAAAAGGGAGAGGGAAAAAAGAGGAGGAAAAACCAAAAGTTATTCAAGTTGCACCAACAATCCTGGAGGAAATAAAGCTAGAAAATTCCCATTGGGTACCACCACCTGACTACGTTTTAATGGATTACATTAATGATGCTTCCAAAACAATTCTACCAATAACTTCTACCCGGGAACAGGTTGTGGCTCTTGCACAGTAAGTACCAAATTGTATTTCCATAAGCCAAATTACTAAAATAACTGTTTTCTTATCCAAAGTCAACTTTTTCAAAATAGTTATTTTCCCATGCTTAAGTGGAATCCAAATCTGCTTTGGCCCAGAATGTTGTCATGTTTAGATTTTAAGCTTCTTGTTTCTAATTTTGTTGTAATTAATTTAATACATTTTAAGATAAAGTATCACTTGCAATAGAAGAGTATCAATTTCTCATTTTAAAAAATATTCTCATAGACAATTTCAGGTTATTTTTCACATTTATACATCTGTACTGATTCTTTCCAGTGAACACATCAGCTGCATATAGCATCTACATAATCAAGGAGCCCCAGAGTTCCAAGTTTTGCAAAGACTAAAAACGTGGTTAGAACCCAGACCTAATAGTCAAGATGGTTGCCAGTGACATATATCATGTCTGTTCTCCTACCATCTTTCCTGCCTACTTGGTTTTGGAACCCCTTGGGACTGCAACTCTGTTGTATTTTGTTTTCTATTGAGCCAAAAGCATAATACAAGTTTTCTAACATAGCTTTTAAGTGCTCTTGTAATTAACATCCTGACGCTTTTAATAGTGCCAGAATATTGCAATAGTGCATGTACAGACTGTTGGTATCAATGTGTGATTCATTGCTTGCACTGACTGCTCAGCCTGGGCACCAATCACTGTCACCTCCAAGCAGTGCGTCTGTTTTCATCTTCTCCATAGTTTAACCTTTATATCTTAGCAGTTTCCAGGCTGCCTCCTGAATCTGGAGAATTTGGCATCAGATCCCACTTACTTTCACAAAATTTGTTACTTTTACTAACTCTCGTTTTTAATGAAGTCATCTAATGTGATATGAGGAATGAATTTTCCATTGATTGCAGAATTTGACAGGACAGAAATTAATCTTTAACTATCCATCTGTGTATAAATCATGCTGCCTTCCTCAAGGTGGAATCCATAAAATTCTCTTATAAATCTGCTCTTCTAACACACCAGTGAAATACTTGCAGACACACAACCCAGTGAAAAAACAATCACGGGAAATTTAACTGGAATGTTTTCTGTGAGGATTTTTCTGTCTGTGTTGCATTTCAGGCACCTGCCTGAATAGCATGTGTTGAATAGGGAGTGGGGGAGAAGGCAGCTGCATCATCCCTCAGCAGCCTGACAGCCTGGCTGGAGTTCTCCTGTGCTCTCTGGGGAGGAGCTCAGGCTAGATGAGGGACATGAGAAATGCTGGATGTGTCCTTTGGAACAAACACAGCCCACCTTTGTGTGGTGGTGAGCACGCTGGCTGGGCAGCATTGCTCTCTTTAATGAGGGCTGCCCATGGGCACATGCAGCACAAGGGGCTGCTGTGCTGCCCCACACTTTCTCAGCTTCACCCAGTAATTCCCAGCTTCAAGATACCCTGTCTGACACGCTTGGTGATAGCTTCCTGTGCCCATGCTATTGCAACAAATGCTTCCTCAACTCTGAATTTTGAAAAGCAAAGCCTTGGAAGTTGCCTTGCTTGTGCTGGGCAGAGGAACACATTTACTGCTTCTGCAGAGGAGGGGATGCAAATTTTAGCTCTCTGTTGGAAGCAATGGCTTGTGATTTTCATGTCAGCTCTGCAACATCTTGTCCAGAGTGAGAGACCTCAAAAACCCTTGTGCCTGTGGCTGAGGCACTGAGGGGAACAAAGGTCTTTACATACATGACCTGCACAGGGGAGATGAAGGTGTGTGTGTATGGGGACACTTACAAACCAGGGCTTGGTCCTGTGTGTGCACAGTCCCCCAAAAGATGTGGTTTTGGCAGAGATTGCACTGACAGTGAGTTCTGATCTGTTTCTATTTCTGAGGCATTTGTTTAAATGGATAAATACTGCTCACCCCCAAAATATTGGCTTCAATATGAGAAAGCACACATAGAAGATAGTACCTTCAATGAATTCAGCTGCTTTTCTATGTTGGGATCATTACCTACGGCTTTATTTTTGTCATACATATTCTCATGCCTTTATTACTATTTCAAACAAATAATAGGTCTGGAGACTGTAACATGTAACTCACCTAATCTGTTACCTGTAAACATGACCATCAGCTTCTGTAATTATTTCTTCAGTAATTACACTGTTATTGATGACTTTTTCTGGTGACTTTGTGCCTATACTACAGCTCTCCAGAATCTCTGCTTTTGCACCTTGGTTTAGGTGACAAAATATGAATGACCTAAGTTATGGTTATCTGTTTTAATCAGTAAGCATATTTAAAATACCAATTACTGAATTAAAAAAAAAATTAAGAACAAGTAGAAAAAGTATTACAGTCTTAAAGGTCATTCACTTCTTGCTTGTATACATTTTATTGTGCTACATTTTTGCAATAAATACAAGAGGAATTATAGATGTAATTGATCCCAGTTGCATTTGAAACAGGTTTGTGGCAGAGAGGATGGGTGGCCCTGTTGAAAAAGAGGAACTACATAATTTCTGCTGGGAACTTGACATGAGTGAAATAGAATTTGACCTGAAAAGCAACATTGTGCCTATCGGGAAAATCAAAAGAGGGACATTCTATCACAGGGCTTTACTTTTCAAGGTACACTATCATTTATTTTGCAACATAACATATTGTTGCTAAATGGATAATCTAAACTAAAATATATTTGCATCATTTTGATACATTATTTATAATCATGTAAAATCTGTGGTATACAGTTTCATAATTTTTCAACAGCAAAGTTGATTTCCCAGTGAATGAAAGCCAGCATCGCTTCTTTCTGTAAACATTCTTGTTGTCATTAAATTGTCTTAAGTGATATCAGCAGAATACTTGATAAGTGGCAAAAAGCCAAAGTATTTGATTTGGAGTCAAAACATTTTACATTTTCTGTAAACTGCAAAATATTGAATTATGCAGCTTGCTTCTTTTTCCATGCTGCAAATGTAAACTTGTTGAGACAATTTTTTATTTGGTATCTATCCAGTATTCTGTGATAGTACATAACAGCGTCTATGTTCTAGTTTCTTAGAAGAAACTGGGAAGTTTTATTTCTTTTTTCTTTCTATGAAGATGTACTGGTGCAGCCTGGTTATCTATCCCATCCTTTTTCCTTGCCTGGATTTTTCTCTTTCTTGAATGGAAAGAAACAGAGAATCAAACACATTAAGAAGGAAGAACCTAGGAAAGAGTACACAGGAGAAGGTGTACAACCCTAAATTTATGATATCCATAGGCAGATAAAGTTTCCAACTTATTTTATGACATTCTGAGGGTGTGAATTAATTATGCTCCACTGTCCTAAGAAACTTTTGTAGGGACAGGTCATCTCTCTTAAAGCCACAGCACTCTAAGCAATGGGTATCTGTCCATTTGTAACAAGTTAAAAATCTTCCAGGGTTTCATTCCTTCACAGCAGATGTGTGTTGAAAGAGCAGTTTGGTAACTGGAAACCATTATAGGTCTGTCTGTGATAGTGCAGCCCAGAGGAAGGGCAGGTGTTTCATCTAGCAGCCACTTGCCTCACATTTCATTGCTTCCCACATTTCCAGGGCTGAAAAGCAAGGAGTGTGCTTCAGAGTGAAGCTACAGTCCTAAACTTACACTGATAAAAATGTTACCTTTTTACACTTCATATTTCATGCTAGCTATATGTGTGCAGCGTGCCTACGCCTCGTTGCTTGAATAGACTTTAAAATGTTATCTGGAAGTAAGTCTTCCAAGTAGACAAAAAGCACTGCTGGGGACTGTGGGTGTTGCACTTCATTTGAGATCTGAAGGACTGGCTGATAACCATATCAGTGTTTGAAAAGAGTTAAAATGAATGTTTTTCATGCTGTGCATTGGAAATGTGAGAAATAACATTTAAAAGCTTACATTTTCTACACAAAACCAACAATAAAGGTTTGAAGTTTGGAACACTTAAAAAATTTATAAAGTATGTTTCAAGAAAGCTTTAGGACTTTCAGGTGTTGATTTTGTTTTTTAAGCATCACTGGGCCTTGCTTTATATCACAGAAGCTACATGAATTAACTGCATTAACTACTTTTTCTTTCTTTTTTAGGTGATAGCAGACAGAATCGGCATTGGCTGTAGTTTAGTTCGTGGCAAGTATAACAGATGTTGGAATGAAGTTAAATTGGTTGAATACACTCCCAAAGGGCTTCTGCTTCCTCCTCAAGAGTATGTTGTAGATGTAATGTTTGAACCAGGCTTATTGTTTAAACAAGGAAGTGCAAAGGCTGATCAATACAAACGTATTTAATAATCTTGATGAATATCACCAAAATAAATATTTTAAATATGTTTGCAGTGCTGTATTTATGAAACAAGAGGGGGTTCATATCCAACTATCAAAAAGAAGCGTATCTGGTATGTTTTCTGAAATGTTTAATTAAATGTGGTTTTGATATCTAGCTTCAGTGCTAAGAAATTTTGTTAATTTTTTGTAGTATTTGAGGACTAAATTGCAAAACTACAGATTAAAATTTGGTAATCAATAATATTTGGTGTATGCTAACATTACAATGCTTATTAAATAAGTTAAATTCCAATACAGCATATTCTTTTTTTTTTTTAATTTTCCTTCAAATCCCATGCACACTTATAGGAATTTCATGTCCATAAAGCAAAAAAATGTGACATCTGATGAAATGACAAGACACCTAAAAACAACTGGACAAGTTTTGTGTGAAATAACCCAATAACTGAGAACTAGAACTACAATAACATTATGCTTTCAGCCTCCATAGAAAAAAATCCCATTGATATTTCTTAAAACTTGGCAGAGTTAATATTTACAGATAATAGGATAGTCTGGATGAAAGTATATACTGTTTGTCCTGGCACAGGAAAGACAGATGATTGATAAGTTAGTGCTTGTGATCTGTTTAAGTTCTTTATTTTTGACTTGGTGATAAAATGGACTCTGAGAAGGCAGCAGTGTTAGACAGGGAATTTGTATTTCCTGCTGCCTGGGGTAGAGTGGTGCTGCTGAGGAGTGGTGGTGCTTTTAAGAGAGGTAAAACACTGGCTAGAACACTCTGGGAAACACTTCCTGGTGAAACTGTCAGGGATGCACTGGAGTATTTCAGAGAGCACCACTATCAATTGAGTTTACTGTGGAAAGCTGAGAGAATGTACTGTACAGCAGTTAGGCCAGTGCAGGCCTAACAGAACTGAATTTCAGAAGACCAGAACACCTACAATAAGGAATTTACTTCCTGCCTACCAAAAATGTGATTTAAAAAATTGGAGTCTGTATTCTTTTAGCTTTTTAATGTTTGTATAAGCACAGTCACTTGCCTTGACTGCTTTGGTTGAGGAGGAGGAGGTTTGTATCTGTTGTATTCATTACTGCTCATGAGCATGATCCCACCACTCCCTCTCCTTCCTCTTCTGACATGCAGCCTGATTTCCTGGTAGCCCTTAGGGGAACATTTTATCTAAATTTATGTTGTAAATTTGCTTATATGGCCTCATGTCCATTTTTTTTTACCTTATGTTCAGCAGTCCTCTAGACATCAGAATGAAAAAGAAGTCTGGAAACAAAATGCAGGATGTGCTGGCAGAACTGAGAGAAAGGTGAGGGTGTGTTTCTTATCATTGCTATGTAGCAGGTAGGAGACTGATGGAAGGTCATATGCTCTCACTGACAGGTATGATTTGGTATAGAAACCCACAACTTTGAAAGTCCAGTAAATTGAAGTAAAATAAGAATTAATTTCCTGCTAGCTATAATTTTGTATAGTTTTCTTACATTGGAATTTCATTATTTTGTATTGGAACCATAACGTTAAAGTATGACTTGCTGTGTTTGAGGAGGTCTTGAAAAGAAAGCAATTTCTGTTGTTTCTAATAAAAATCAATATGAAAAAAACCAGACAAAATGCAGTTTTTCAAAATAAAAATTGGGAATTTTCTAGACACATAAGCTCATTTTGCATAAAATAATTATCTAAATAAATAAAACCAAATACTCTAGCCTGCATTGCATAATGCAGAATTTGATGATCCAGCAATGTAGGATCCAAAAATGTTTTACGTCTTTCACAGTTTTGAACTTTGTACTGTCTGAATTCTGTCTCTTCAAAATTGTAATGCACTTGGATGTCAGAATTAAGGTCTAGGTAGAATATAAACACTTCAATCTAAAATGGTTACTTTGAAAACTGCACTTTATTTGTCAGGTACGTCAAGAAATGCCGCACTTTTAAATTTGATGTTAATCAGGGACCTGTAATTGTGTCCATGGCCTGGTGAAGAATCCCCCCACCTTTGATAAGAGCAGCTCAGCTCACACTCATTCCAGAACTGAATCAGAAAACAAAATGTTTAAACATTTCTACAGGGCTCAGCTGGGTGAGTATTCCCAGGACATGCTCAGCACACACCATTTGGCTTGGGCTGTGCCTGAGGGAATTGATTGCCTACCTTCATTTAAGGAGCAGATGGGGAAGGGCTCATATTTCCTTTTACATAGTAGTTCACTGGGCAGATCAGTCACACAGAAGGAGTCAGGCTTGATGCCTTCCTAAGCACAAACAAAACAGCCTGCAGCTACCTCATTGCAGGATCTGTTCTGGCCACTAAGCACTCTGCATCCCTTTTAAAAGATCTGCTGTCATGCAGAAAAGAGTGCAGGATTAATAGACTACAGAAACAGAAAAGTTGAGCAAGCTCTTCAACTTAATATTTGGGAGCAGCAATTAGGCTTTTCCTTTGGGAAAAAATAGTCTGGGACTCCAATACCCACTTCCAGAAATGTTCTTATATTTTACTGCCTAGACATGTAAATATCTACTGTAAAATGTAGAAACTGTACCCGACCTAGAACAAGATCCTCATAATTAGGTGCTCTCCTGCAAGGTGAAAAGCTGTCTTAAGCAAAGGTAAGAACTGAGACAAGGTTCATTCCTCCAGAGTTGTAACCACCAGGCAACGACACAGAAATGGCCTCATGGCCAGCAGCTGTGCAGAATGAAAACCAAATGAGATGTGCTCAGCTTCTTGAAAGGGAGGGCATGTAGGTGGTTATCCCAGGACAGTGATGGGGACTGGAGATCCTGATTTGAATGAGGCACCCCCAAGTCATCCTCATTGTCATGTCTGTGCTTCTAAGAGAAGCTGGCATGAAGACTCTTTCCTCCTGTTCATGGGAACTGCCCAGCTTAGTATTGGCTGTGCAGAAGTGATGAAGTGCCCTGCTCAGCTTCCTGCATGGTCTGTTCCAAGGCATCTGCAAGTGGCACACCACACATGCACACACATACACACCCCGCTGCCCCCACTACTCATTAAAAAGAATTTTAGTTTTGATTAGGCATTGAAAAGCACAATGCTTAATATATAGCACATCTGCATATCAAGAAATACAAATCTGGGCTGTATTAATAAAAGGTCAGGTATGATTCCTATCTGTCTGATGAATGTGAGTCAGTAAAGCAGCAGACCAAAGTGATGATGGTATCAATGGGATTGCAACTTCCAGTAGAGGTTTGGGTATGAGAGAGTCTAATGCTTTGGTCCTGCAAACCTCTGCTTTTGCTTGTCTGTGTATCTGGGACCATTGTGGCAAAGGGAGTAATTCCAGTCTCTGCAGATGATTTTTTGGCTGAGACTTGTTTCTGAGGGATGCTTCTGGTAATCATCCCGCTGCAGAAGTGGACTCTGCTTCCCCCAGCAGTACAGATTGCTGGCAGCAGCAGTACCAGCTCTTCCACGCTTGTCCTCTGTTACCCTCGATCCTGAGCAGTAGGAACACTGAGGGTAACTTACACTTGTTTTATCTTGATGCTAGCAGGGAACAACTGCAGTGTAATTTATAGATTTGGGACATTTCAAATGGTTTCTGATTACCCACTACTAAACTAGAGCATTGGATTGGCATCCCTCCCTCAAACTGTGCACTACCGTGATTGTAGAAATTGAAATGAACTTTTCCTCCAGGAAATCTCTGTTGCTGATTAACTCTGGGTCCTGAGAAGAATCCAGAGCTCTCAGAACAAAATGCGTATTTATTTTCAGATGCAAGAGGAACTTTTTTCTGTTACTTTTCTCCCTAAACTTGTCTTCAGGGAAAAACAAGTCTTTTATTAGTAAATGTGGGCTTTGAATGGTGACATATTATTTCATCTACAGCTTCTTTGCATGGATCTGCACCTCTTCTACTACATGATTCATTTCTCTGTAAATTCAGCTCATTATCGACACAGAGTGTCAGAATGGAGGCAGTAGACATTTACTGGTCAGTATGTCAACTTAGTTGACAAGAGAAGTGCACTAAAACATTTATTATTTTCATAGCTGCCTTGCTGGTTTATACAAGGGTCTTCCTCCCAACAACTCTTTGACACTACCTATTTTCCTTCAGAAGACTGAAAAAAAGAAAAAAATCCCTATATAATTAAAAGCCCAAACACATCGCAACAAAGTAGAAGAAGAAAGCATAGTAATGGACAGACAGGCTCTAGCCAGGAGTCTGTCCTTGAAAGTAATCTATCTCCAACAATGGTCAGTTTAGAGAAGGTAAAAAGCATGGCTCAAATACATTTCTGCATTTTCAGAGTTCTCTGCTAGGTTCAGCACTTCACAGCTGAGGGGATTTCTGTGTGTCTAGGGATTTAATAACACATTACACAGAAATGAAAACACATAGCACAGATACACCTCTGCAACCACCCACTGGCACATCCAATACACAAACCCTCTAACTCTGCAGCTGTGGCACTGAACCTCCTCTCCTCCCAGGCAGCTGTACCTCCTCCCAGGCAGCACAGATGGAAACAACCAAAGGACTCTGCTCTGGCACTGGCTGTGGCCTTTGCAATACAACTGTGTAAATGGGACATGGGATTGTTCTCCAGAACTGCTACTCCAGCAGATCTTTGCAGATAAACTAACAGCTCTTTGGCCCTCTTAATGAGCTTATTATTTTTATATTATACAAACACTGTCTCTGACACTGAAAGATATCAGAAATAGTGGAATAACTTTATCTGGCCTTCCTTGTCCACTGTCACCCAGGCAGAATTTAGACTTCACCTACAGGTAACGTATGCACAGGAATGAGTGAAACACAGCTGGAGAGACATACAGGAGAGAGACATGACCCTAACCCTAAGCTATATATACACACATATGTGTCTCTCACCTATAAAAATGTATTTGTAGGACATGGAAGAAATTGGAGTATTGGAGATACAACGAGCTAGTAAAAGCTTTTCTTTCGTGAAGAGTGAGCTTTTTTGCATGGTACTGAACCAGCTGGTTCTTCCAGGTCATTGATATTTCACTGATATGCTAAGAGACACCATTTATGGAAACCTTGTACAAAGCATAATTGAAGCAAGTTCTTACTTGAAATTGGATAGATGTTGGGGGAAATACAGCAAGATGAGAAGAACAGTTGTATCACAGTAGGCAGCAGATCCTGTTAGTCATGCAGCCCTTTGCCCAGGCTAGGCCCCCCTACTCAAATGCTGTCCACAAGCAGCTCCCCTCTGTTGATCCTACCTTGCAAGTGAGCAGAGCAGACCCTGCCTTCCAGCAGACCAAATGCTTGGGCTCCACAGGATCTCTTTGCTTATTTTAGAATAAGAGACAAAAAAAAGCTCTTCAGCAAGAGCTGTTCACTGCTGGTTTTCACTCCCTCATCCATGCTGCATAAAAGTAACTCCCCCCAGGTTCCATAGAGGGTAACATCTTTCCTTTTTGTGGTGCCAGTGTTGTGCAAGTTTGCTGTAAAAACATGGTGCCAAGTTCTTGTGAAGCAGAAACTTCTCCAAAGTCACTTCATTCTTTTGTTGCAAGAAAGGTTGAGCTAACCACCCAACCAGACACCTCAGTTCCTGCTGCTCCCACAGCTTGCAGTCTGGCTGTTCTCCATTTCTTTGTTGCTTTCTCTTACTGTTTCCAGAAGACATCCTTAGATTGTTTTACTACGTCTGATACTCATCTCTTGTGTTTTCTCATCCTGTTGTGGTTTAACATCAGCCATCAGCCCCACACAGCCTCTCATGCACTCCTTCTCCTGTAACTGCAGAGAGAGAATCAGAAAAATCACTTTAATAGGTAAAACAAAAAGCTGCACTTGCAAGCAAAGCAACCCTAGGAATTCATCACCACTTCCCATGGCCAGGCAGGTATTCAGCCATCCCCAGCCATCCCCAGGAGAACAGGGCTCCATCACATGTTAACAGTGACTCAGCAAGACAAACAATCACAGAATCACAGAACCAATTGGGTTGGAACAGACCTCTGAGATCTCTGAGTCCAACCTTTGACCAGGCACCACCAAGTCAGTCAGACCATGGTTCTAAGTACCATGTCCAGTCTTTTCTAAACACCTACAGGGAGTGGGCCTCCACCAACACCATAAGGACACCACCCTGAATGTCCTTCCCCTTCCTCCTTCTCCCCCCTGTTTTATACATGGAGCATGATGCTATGGGCTATGGAATAATGCCTCTGGTCACTTGGAGTCAGCATCCTGGATCAGCATCCTGCAAGATGCAAGAACCTCACAGGTTCTTGTGCAACCCCAGCCCACTCACAGGTGGAGAAAGGAGCAGGAGAGGCCTTAGTGCTGTGTAAGGGCTGCTCAGCAGTAACAAACATCCCCACGTTATCAACGTTTCCAGCACAAAACCAAAACACAGCCCCACACCAGCTACTGTGAAATAAATTAACTCTATCCCATTCAAAATCAGTACACCTTTTTCTACAGATCAGCTGTTCTTCCTAGTTATAAGAAGGAGTTGAACAAAAACCCCCACACCATAGCATGTTTTTAATTCCTTTTTAGTATGAGCTTCTCTGAACAAGGTTCTTTTAGTGACACAGTCTGAAAGAAGATTCCTTAAAGGCCAGGTGTCAAAAAGATTTTAAAGAGTCAAAAGGCTTTTCAAAATGTCAACTCATTAGTTTTAATTGGCATTAGGGAACATATTATGAAAGACTAGAGGTCTACTCAGTGTCCCAAGATATAACAGATGTTGGTAATGATACCTAATTTCCAAAGTTGGAGAATTCTCTGACAAATGGGCACTCTTAAGACACAGTTTATCCATGGTAGATCATACAGAAGAGTAACATGCTGTGAGTGCCAGTTTCTTTTCATTACACTGTTTCTTCTGCAGACTTCTAATATAAGTGGGTTTAATCCGAGATTCACCTGCTATTAATGGGAGCTGCATTACCAAAGAGACACCTAGTGACTAAAGGCTGGCTCCTCGGTATAAATATGTGCAAAAAAAGCCAGGGACTATAAGCCCAAATATTGGGCCATTCAAGTACTAAATTTCTTAAGGAACTCCCAACGACAAGACAGCATCTGGAACTGACAGGGACTTGGACTGTGCAGCACTGGGCCAAATTTAATGTTGGTCCTAAGTAAGCTCTCTGAAGGTTCCACAGGGCAAGAGCTGTGTGGCATGTGGTACAGGTCTAAAACACAAATAATGTGAAATTCAGGGTGAGCTCAGGAAGCAGGGTTCCATGTGCCAGGGATCACACTGGTCCAATGCTCAGGGTGCCTTCTTCTGAGCAAAACCTCTGGTTGGAATTCTGGAGTTATTTACACAGGGATTACTCTGTAGCATTTGTTACCATGGCATTGAGGAGGGATGGGAGTCACAAAATCCTAGAATGGTTTGGGTTGGGAGAGCTCCTAAAGATCATCTCATTCCAACCCCTACAGTGGGCAGGGACACCTTCTACTAGACCAAGGTGTCCCAAGCACCCTCCAACCCGACCTTGAAAACTTCTAGGCATGGAACATCCACAGCTTCTCAGGGGAACCTTTTCCAGTGCCTCATCCAGGGGCTGCCACTGACTTAGTGTGTTGTTGCCTCTTGCTGTGTATTTGCTGACCACAGAAATTCAGTGTAGAGAGTAGCACAGGTTTCAGTCAGGTCAGTGCTCAGTTTTGATACTGAAACACTGCTGGACATTAGGTGTGGTGGGGAGGTATCTTTGCTTGGCACTCAGAAATTAAAGAAATTCACTAACAAATGGGCTAGCAATACCTGGCTTATCAGAATTTTTTCTTGCTAGATGAATGGCAGTATGGTGTAGAAACAAGAGGTCCATCTGAAACCTAGAGCCTGCTCTGATCCTTTCTACCCTCTTCCTACATAGCAGATATGGACAAAAACTTCTACCACAGCAGCACTGACTCAGTACACTCTGCCCTTTCAAAAGCTCCTCACTTAAGGTTCCCACATAAGCAGGTTGTCCCCGCAGATCTGGCCAAATTTTATATGACATGAAGCTGGAGAAGTTTTTTCTCAGTTCAGAGTTGCTCAGATAGGTCCTGGAAAAGAAACCTCAACTCCTGTTCCAGTGGGAGCAGGGTGTGCTGGGCCAAATTGCCACCAGGCACTTCATTTCCATGAAGTGGAAAACCAGCTCATGCCTTGAGAACAGAATGGTAGTTTTTCCAACAAAAATAAATCTTTGGGAGCTCACCTAAGAAAGAAGGAAAGGAAGATTCATAGCTTCACTTACATGAATCCCAAATTTAAAAATACATCTAAGATGAATGAGTGGGAATAAAACTTGTTCTAGCAAACCTCATTCCTCAGTAATTCCCATTTGCTGGGAAAAAGGCAAACTCTCTTATCAGGGAAGTCACTCTAGGAAGAGAGGCATTTTCCTAATCAGAGTGTGAAGCATGCCCTACTCTTAAATCATTTATATTTTACTTTTTTATGATGCAATCATGAATTAGCTTTTTCTGTGTTTGTAATGAGAGAATAGAACAGATGGTCAGGGCTTAGTTCAGGGTGATAAATCCATTAAGATAACCTACAGAAAGTTGCTACTGTGACAGTTGCTGCCATTCAATTTTCTGTTCAGGCTTTGGGTACTGTGTGGAAGAACCAACTCAGTTCTTCACTGTCTTAGGATAAAAGGCATAAGAAATCACTCACAAATTTGTGGAATGTATTATTACTGTCTACATGGCTCAAGGAACTGGATGGTATGGTATAGGGGATGCACAGGGTAATGCAGGGAAATATCCTGGATTTGTTGCTTCCCAATAGCTGCCCTGGAAGATACACATACTCCACACCAGACTGCATGTCTACTTTTAGCTGAACCAATGACTCAATTGCAGACTTGAGTTTTCTATCAAGGAGTGATTGCAAATTCCCATTTAACTTTGAATTCATGCCTTCACTTGTGATGCAAGAAATTTCTCAAAGCATTTCGAATCAGGACAGGACTGTGGAGGGCATTTGGTCTAATCCAACTCAAAACATTTGTCACAGTGGACCAAACCTCTAGGTCTCTTCCAATTGCAACTATTCTATTCTATTCTTATACTCCAAATTCCATCCTTATACTCCAAAAGAAGGCTCCCACTTAAGCTAGCCCACAAATATGACCTATTGCTTTCCAAAAACAAACATTAGAACAATCAGGTATCCTATAGCTTATGATTAGCAAAAAGAAATATTAAACCATAAAGCAAACAAAGTGAGAAGCTGTGTCTTCATTATTTCTGATGATGTCTTTGACCTGAATCACATCAGGCTGCTCCATAAATTAATCTAAGCAGAATGCATAGATCAGCTTCAGGGAGGTTCAGATCTGCATTCAGTCTCTGTGTGTCTCTGGAAACCAGCAGTATCCTTTTCCAAGGTACTTTGACACTTCTGCTTTTAATAACTGTTGCCAAAATCCCTTTCCGTCACTGGAATTCCGCACCAGAGCACTACCACATATCTTTAGATCTCCATTTGAAGTATCTCCATATACCAGGAGCTCTTAGTTTCACCACACCTGTGCAGCTAGAGGCTGGCTGTGGAGCTGTATCCAGGCTATCAGAGGAGAGAGAAGACTCTGCTGAGGAAGGCTGGGGAGTTCCTGCAGTATATCCTACAAAAGCCTTGAGGGTTTCCATGGAGGTAACAGAGCTCCCCACTGATACAAGCCACCATTGAAGGGCTCATGCAAGACCCTGCTCTTCACTCCCTGGGCTCCTGGGCACACAGCACCCCACATATGACAGGTCCAAGACAAATTGCTGCCTGGTGAGCTCCCACCTGTTCCAGTGGAACCACCCCATAGGAGGGGACACACATAGATCTGACAAAGTGAGCTGAGGAAAACTCATTGGATGCCAATGCATATGAAATAAAACCACCACAATTTCCTTCAAGTGTTTTCTTCCATACGTGGTAATGCCATGGGGCTTTATTAACAAAAGTTGTGTAAGCAGAGGTTTGAATTTGAACAGGTTTGTTTGTTTGTTTTTTCACTTTTTCACCTTGTTGCTGCCTGGCTGAGTGCTCAGTATCTGCCAGCACAGGCATTACATGATGCTCTGCTTGTCCTCACAGCCACCAGTCCAGGCAGAGCCTGAGCTGGGAAATGGCTGGAGCCTGAATAAATATTAGCAGGATACTCTGGGCTGAGATTGCTTCCCTCTTCCCTTCTGCTCTCACCTGCACATGTGCTGCTGCTGCTGCCTCAGCACTGAGCCACACTGCAGGAGGAGCTGAGGAGCTTCTCCCCATTCACGTGTCTAATGGGACACTGTGCTTTGGGTGAGTGACCCTGCCCTGGATGCAGCTTGTGTACATGCTGGACACAGGTGACATTTTTACAATAAAGCTGCTGAATTACAACTCAGGGAGAATTTACTTAGAAATTTACATAATGTAGCTAGGGGAGATTTTTAAATGCTTCCTCTTGTGCATAAGGGAGAAAAAAAAATAGGAGGAAAATTAAGTAACAGTTTAATTGGCTTTCAGAACAGTCTATAGGGAGAAAGGCAGGCCGGATGTCTGCCTAGCTACACGGCTTGGTGTGTGCTGTAACCATGGGAGGCAACATTACAGGCATGACAGGACAATGATTTGGTTTTTCAGCACTGAAGATCTGAAAAATGAATTACCTCCAGCTGGGGGGTTGTTTTCCACTTGAGGAAGACCTGTCATGCTGCTTTGGATGACTGCAGGTCAGGCTTCTGTTGGAGGGGAAAATGGAGGATTTTCTCCTGGTCTGCCATGCACCTCCTCAAATATGGATCACAGCTGTTGGGATGAACGGGATCTGCCTCTTCCACCACCCCCCTCATTTTAACCAATGTGTGGCTTGTAATGAACTGGGTAACTGAGAGGATGATGAGGCTTGGGCTGATGAGCCTGATGCCTTGTGCTCCTTCTGCTCCCACTGCCCCACAGACCCCTACTTCCCTGCTCCAGAATCTGGGGAAAATGGTACAGCAGCAGAACTGTGTTGGTTCAGTTCCCACTGCCTCAAAACGGCTGCATTTTGGGATGGTACCAGTAAAAGAGACCTGCAAGAAAGACGCTGACATTTCATTTTTTATTTAATCTTGTCTTTAGAAAAGCACCAGTTAAATCAATGTCAATTACATGAAAACATGCAAGTTTCAGGAGTAACTACTTTCTCTCAGCCTCCTTCATTTCTCAGATAATTCAGGGAGAACTCTATTGATTACCTGTCCTCCTCAGGAGCAAACACTATCTGAGTGAGATTAAGACCAGGAAAGTGAGGGAAATGCCTCTTTTCTGCAGAACTGGAGACAGAGGCTGGGAGTGACACCATCACCTGCTACCACTTTCTAGCCCCAAGCCACTTGCCAGAACTGGGGACGTGTCAGACTGGGCCTCTCATCACCAAGGGCTCCCTAGCCTGCTCCACCTCCCTCCTGAACCATGGCTAAATGACTGATATGCCGTAGGGGTAAGTTAGAAAGTGTATGGAAAGATCACAGGATCATCACTTGCCAAAATGGCTGAACATGGAAAAATGCTGTCCCTCTGCCTATAGCATGGATGCTGCCTTCTGCCAGCACCAAAGTGGGGTGGCAAGGCCCTCTCCTCCGTGCCAGCAGCACTGCTCTAACAGCCTGAGGCACATTCCTGAGGACTCTCAGGCATCACACCTCCAGGGTTTTTATCCAGGTACTCTGCCTTCACTCCACCGTGTGTTATTGCACAGGACAAAGCCACAAATCAGCCGTGTGCCCTGCTCCCTCCTGCAGCACGGGGGAGCCTCGCTAACATCCGTGCTGCGCTGCAGTGCTCTGTGGATCCCAGCAGAGGCAGTGATTGCAGCCGTGGTACTGAGCAGATGCTGTCTTGGATGTCCTCAGCTGCCATGGAACTCACTGTCTTAGGCATAAGGATGGTTCAATAGAAACGTGTATATACAGGACTGATTACACAGGACTATTTCTTTGCTTTGATTTTAGAATTAGGCTAGAAGAACTAGATTAAAATTAAATTTATTATTAGCTTTGTTTATTATTAACATTATTATTAGCTTTGTTGTCCAATGTAATCAAAACACTTCCTTCCCCATTCTTCTGAAATTATGAACTAATTCCAAATCAGAAATTAATTTATTGGAAGAGAAGCAGACAGTAGCATTAAGGCTTAATCTAGAAAACTAACTTGTGTTTAGATCTACCTTTAAAGGACGGGCTGCCAAACTAACACACGTGTCCGATTACAGGTATATTTATAGGCCAAGCCAAGGCAGCTGTGACTGCAAATCACTGCAGGAAAGCAGGAAAGCCTCAGCACAGCTCCTTCGCCATTCCTTGATCAACAGCGCTGAGAGCAGTGCCTGTAACATACATTCAGGGCAGCAAGAGCGCTTTTGCATGCAAGTACCAGACTGTTATCCTTAAAAACAACCTAGAATAGCTGCAAGCAAATGTCTCAACAGGATTTTGTTGCGTTTACGGCCGCAGAGAGTGTTCGTTTTTAAACTGCTCTCGGTAAGAAGTGATTGAAATCTTTACCTGCAAATGCTGCATCGGCATTTAAGCGGGTGCTTAACTCATTGCTTTTATGAGGTCTGATTCTTTAGGTGGAACGCAGGGATTACACACGGCCGGAATCTTTCCCGGTGCCGCCTCGCCGCTATGGCGGCCCGTCCGCTCGGGGGGATTCTCGGAGGGATGCTCGGAGGGATGCTCGGGAGGATGCCCGGGGGGATGCTCAGGAGCCGCCGCCCGCTCCTCCCGCTGCGCTCCCCGCTGCCGAGCGCCGCCCGCGCTGCGCACAGAGACAGAGGTACTGCATGGGGAGAGGAAAGGAGCCCCTGCTCGCCGGCTCCTGGCCGCTTAGGGAGGGCTGCGTTAGCATGCTGTAGGTTTTTGTCTTGAACTGGCTGGCTAAGCTCTAGGTTTTTTGGTTAAACTATCGTTTTCAAATTAATTTCCCCCTACCCTCTCCCCTGCCCCCAGTCTCACCTCTACCTTGCAAGGGATGAATTCAGGTTCGTTCCTCAGGAGCTGATTGTTTATCAAGGATCCTGTGCTGATGGGGGACAGGCTGGGAAGCAGTTCCCCACCTCAGACTTTTTGATTCAGAGAGTATTAAACTATTTTACTCCCTGTTTTTCAGCCAGTCTATTAATTCTTTGCCAATCCCATACCACCACAAGTGTTCTTGGTGTGTACAGACCCACAGGACATGTTGCTGGAGGTTTGCACCATGATGGGCGACTTCTGGTCTGCTGTTGTGTGTCCCTCACTTAACTGTGGCCCCATTTCTCCTGGGCTGTAGGTGTTGCTGCCTTCCAGTCCATCTTAGCACCACTTTTCACTGGGAGATGCCAGTGTTCCACAGCCCACAGATGAACATTACTTCTGATTTCTGAGGGTTTCCAAGAGGTTTGCCAAACCTTTTAGTGCTATCCAGGGATGAAGGAGGAGCACTGGCAGACCAGGGGTTATCCTGAGCCAGGGCAGAGGGCTGTGCTGGGAGAGTGGGTGGTACCTGGGCTCAGAGGTGCCCATTTCCTTTACAAGCATTCCCAAGTGGTTTGCTGGAGCTTCTCTCTGAATGTAGCACTCCAAATGGAAAGCAGATGCCAAGTCCTGCACGTGCCCCTGCCTATGCCCCTGAACTGCCCTCTGTGCTTTGTCTGTACCCACAGAAACTTTTGGAGAACTGAGATGATGATGGAAAGCATCAATGGAATCTAAGCTATCTTACTAAATTATCTTTCTATATCTAATTGAAGACACAGATCCCCTCACTAAACAAGCTCAAACAGCTGCTGCTACTGACTGGAAAAAGAAATTGACTCCGGAGCAATTCTATGTGACACGAGAAAAAGGAACAGAACCGGTGAGCAGAAATGCTGATGCTGCCCAAGAGTGAGCCACCTCCTCTGCCTGCTGGGCACAGAAAACCTGCCCTGGGGAGCTCTCACCACTCCCTTTCTTCACAGGACCTCCCCTGCCTTCCTGTGGATGAAAGTTAGACTCAACATACGGAACAGGGTGGATTTAGTTCTGACCCAGACTGTTTTGCAGATGAAAAACATTCTGCATTCTTTTCATATTTTATTGGATTTTTTTTCTGGGAGACTTTCCTGCCAGATTAACTGTTTGTGTGGTGAGAGTAGAGGCCTGTCCAGAGGGCAGGAAGATCCTCAGATATTTTTATCCTGTAGCCTCCTTTTTATGACCATATGTAGATTAGCCGTGGAAATCTTAAACATAGCACTCCCTTCAGGGGATGGCTTCCCCCTCAGGTGCCAGATCACCCACCCACATGTCCCCACGTTTCCTCCTCCTGGGAAGGAAGCCATGTAGCATTGTGGGTGGAGTGCTGGCTGTCCCTAGCCCAGAGACAGGACTTTTGCACGCATGGAGCACTTACCATGTGATCTGTGCCCAAATCCATATCTGTAAAATAGGGATCCCAGTACCAGACCATGCAGGAAGGAGGAGAATCTCTTTGTAAAGCCACTTTAAAGATGTGGCAGTCCATAGCAGAGCCCTGGCCTTTGGGATCCTGCACATCTCACCAGTTTCTTGGAGGTCACGACTCCATCCTTGGTACCTGGATGATTTATGCATCTGACTGGTCTCAAAGTTTGTGGGGGTAGGGGGTAGTCTTCACTACTAGCCCAAAGGCATCCTCCCCTTCATTTTTTCAGGCTGCTAATGTTTGTTCTTCAAAGCCCCCCTGCAAAGCCTTCTTTTTATGGTTTTTCTCCTGTTTTGAATCTGATTCCTACATGCTTCTTCCAGATGGTGAGCTTTTAAAGACCTACATTATTAACTTCTCTTTTTTCCTTCCTATTTGAAAAGCCATTCAGTGGGATCTATCTGAATAACACAGAATCAGGAATATACTGCTGTGTGTGCTGCAATGCCCCCCTCTTCAGGTAACAGCCTCTGCATTTCCCAACATCTTTAACATGTACTGATTGTGGCAGGAAGGGCAATGTCTTCTCATGGATGGTATGGAAAATGTTGGTCAGAAGAACAATCCCTCGGTGCCCAAGTGCTGTGTGTAAGTGTTCCAGGATGCCTGTGGTGGCACAGATCCATGGTATGCCTTTTCCTTGAGCTGATGAGGATTGCCCATGGCCAGCACACAGCTTCAGGCTGCAGTCTACCTGTTTCTCCTGATGTACTTCCTTCTAGTTGATAATAATTCTCTGGTTAAAAGGTCCTTAAGCCACAAGCTGCTGCAAAATCTACATATTTATGCATGAGTATCACTGTGTGTTTGCTCTGTTCATACTCATCTTCTGCCACTCATGCTGCTGGGCTGGAGACCTTGGTCTGCCTTTGTCTGCTGTTGCGTTGTTCCCATTGCTGGGTCCCTCACACTGCAGCTGAGACCTTCTCTTCACCCCCACCACCTCCTTGTTCCCTAAATTAAATCCCACTATTCTTGCCTTTTTGGTTACATCTACTTTTTGAAGCCTGGCTGTAAATGATTGCACAGTTAACCTCTGTGCTCTTTACAACACTGTGTATTTTGCAACTTCATTATTGTCTAAGTAAAAGGAAATAGAGTGCCTTGGAGTAGGATGTGCAGAGAGTGCTCTGTTCTCTGTAACTGAACCAGGAAAGACAGTTTCTCTTATTTTTGGTCTAGAAAATAGTCCTTATTTATTCCCAACTGAGAATTTAATGAAATGTGGCTGATTTAAAGGATGAATCACAGATCAGAACTTCAAATGGGATGCTAAGGATCAAGAGATCTGGATAGTAAGAAAGGAGGGAAAAATGTAATGAATGTATTGAAAATAAACCTAAACTAAGCAATTAAATGAAAATTGTGTACAATTAGTTTTCCTTTGGCTAAGTGCAGAAAACTATTGTTATGCAAACCTGCATTTGCTTGAATGTTTAATTTTCCATAGAGGTTTGCTAATGAATACTTCTAAATAAATTAATTTCTGGTGTTGGCTCAGCATCACAAAATACTCTGAAGAGAAATATAAACCCTAAAAACCTCTGGAAAATTCAGATAAATTAGAGAAAATGTAAAGTACTAAGCTATGGAAGAGTTCCTTCCATCCCTTCAGGTTTTCCTTCAATTTTGGCCCTTTTTATATTAGACAATTGATACTGACAGGCCAACATGAGGAGAGACAAACACTGGAGGGAATTGCTTCTGTTGTTAAACTGGTAACAAAAAAGCAATATAACCAAACAGCCAGGCTGCCCTTTGCACTATCCAGCTCTCAGGGAATATAAGCACTTTCCTTTGCAGCACAAGATAGTGTTAAGCCTCACAGACAAAAAAGGCCAAACTTTCTGGAAGAAAAAAAATCTTGTAGGAAAAAAGGAAACTATTAAATGTGAAAAATCTCCTGAAAATTTCTTTTCCATGGAGATGTTGTGCTGTGGAGAACACAAGCAATGAGGGGGAGAAGTGGTATTGGATAGGAGATTCATTCATCATATTTATTTTTTCCTAGTTCATTAAAAATGTTCTTGTGAATTTTTGGGTTTTTGAAATGCATTAGATCAATAGCTGCAGGTAAGCATGAAGTATTTCTTCCTTTCTTTGAAACATGTGTGCATACATTTAAATCATAATTTAGTACCTTCTGCTACCAAATATACATTTGAAAGAGTTGGAAATACATGGAACAAACCCCTAACCTTTACAGACAGCAAATTGTGGTGCTTTAATGAAATCTCAAACCTTCATCAAACCATAAACCTACAGCTGAGATTCATACAGCAAAAAGCACTTTTTAGAATTATCTGGATTCCATCCAGGACGATTGAAACAGGGATCAAAGTAAATGACATGTGCTGGAGGAATGGTGTGTTGAGGTCTAATCTAATGCATATGTTTAGAGAAGGTCCATTTATCCATAAATTAAGTGGTGAAATACTTCAAAGGACAAATATGATCTTGAACAGCAATATTTTTGGGTACTAAAATGTTTCTATTAGGAAGTCTAAGTGACATTACTCTTAATAAAACCACATAGAGACCATATCTGCTGAGAGCTAGTTTAACAGCTCAAAAGATTGTGCCTTTAGCAGTGGAAAACATCTACAATAAACTCAAGTATTGTGAGTGGCATGTAAGGGATAGAGTCACTCAGGGTCAGATGCAAAACCCACACAGTGTTAAAGACCTTCCTTGGCTCTGTGGGATTTCAAAGAGGATCTTTGTATCTATGTGTGAATAAGCAGAAGGATTCCTGTGTCAAAAAATAAAAGAGTTTTGATAAAAAGAAGCAGAACAGATGTATGTCAGGGAAGCTCAGAAGTCATGTATGGATTTGTGTCCCCCAGGCCTGGGGACTCTGTGGCTGGTAGGGACAGTGTTCATGTGGGTTTGTGGCAGGGAAAGCAGGGAGCCTGCTTGAGCTGGAAACAAACAGGCCTGGAGCCCTGAGGACCCTGATGCACAAACACTGAATCTGCAAACTGCATTTGCTTCACAGCAGGCTGCTCCTGTTTCTCTCCAGCTTTATGGGGAGGAGGGAAGGAGAACATTTCTCATGGCTATCTGTGTGTTGATGTAAGCCACTAAGCAACAGCCCACACAAAAACTAGCCTTTGCTCATTCTGTGCTAGCAAATCCTCTTTTATTTCCACAGCTGCATTACTC